ATACACTCAAGTATGTTCCAGAAACTTGAATTTTTCATGTTTGACATACGGTGATACCAAGTGTGTCACCGGGAAATATTAAAACTGTATTTCAATTACAAGCCGCACACGAACACGTTTCACGGTTCTCGCCATAATTTCTTCAGACTGTGGTGGTGCTCTAAACTTACTGACGTGGCGAACGTACAGACGACAAAAAAAACTGCCATGTGATTTGCATGCTGAACAATTTTTCGCTGTCTGAAAAATATGGAATGTAACAAATTAAACAACTGACGTACCTTTCCAACTGGGAATTTCTTGAGAAACTCAGGTGTCTTGTTGGTTTCGCCGAGTTTGAAGGCCGGTGGGTCCGAGACCACGTTCAGCTGGGCACCGCTGTACTGTGCGGCGACCTGGGCCTTGTAGGCCCGGAAGTTACCCGGGTAGGTATATAACGTCTAAAAAACACAATTTCAAACACATTTGGCAAAATATCGGCACAAACACATAAAGCAACAATTCCTCTTTACCAAATAGCGTCAAAGTGTGAAGTTGCTATTATTTTTAACGCAGGATGCTCGAGATTCGGACAGGAGTTTCGACTTACACCAGAAGCCATTGCCGCAACAGGGGGAAAGAGGATGCGCAGACGGCCGCCAGAGGGAATGTGGATTGCGCAAGTTGCAATATGCACGCAACCAGCAGAGGACGTCGTTACAAAGTCCAGTCAATGTCTTCAAGCAGATGTTGGGAGGGAAGGGCGTAACCTTTTCACTGCTTCAACAATGTGCTTGGAGATAAAGCCAGATAAGATCAGACAGCAAGACAGTAATTCCAAATGACCCGGTCATCTGAGAGTGAGGTCATCTGAGGTCGTATGAGGGGATCAGCTCCGTTTGCACCATCAACGTGTAGATGATTTTGCAGTCATTTTAAATAAATTTTTATTTTCCTCGATGGTTACGACAACGAAGGTCATCGAAGTATGACAGTGAGGTCACATCCTGTCAAATTTATAATGAAAGCCTCTGTGCGTTTTACAGAGAAGTCACTAGAGGTCGCCGTTCAGCAGCTACAAGCCATATTTGGATACCCAATATCCCGGATGTACAATTTTGGGGTTGCTGAGGACAGGGATCGATTTCTGGTCGTAGGGTAGAAAACCGCAGAAAATTAGCCAAAATGGTAAGTAACGGAGCTTTTTGCGTGCATTTCTTGTCTGTAGATTTTTTCTTGACATTCCCAAGGGCAGCTCTGAGGGAAGGAGTGCCCATTTAGTCGAGCTATCGCCGACAAACATGCGTAACATCCTCGCTATAATCAGTGCGACAGTCTTGCATCTCCAACCCGTGAAGCTCTCGAAAATTTTCAGGCCGATTTACAAATTCGGGTCAATGTTATGTCCGTAACACGCCCTCTGGCATATCAACAATTGGCCGGAGATCCTAGAAAAATGCCCAGCACAGCGTATCCAGTATGGTGGTTACTGTTTTCTGAAGGCACGAAGCGTCCGAGAGACGACCGGTATATTTTTGACATACCGGCAGTGAATATTTAGAGCCCGACCCACCCCAGTCCCATATCACCGCTGTTTGGTTCCCGTTGATTTGTGAATCCCACTAAAACATGGTGGTCTTCTAGCCTAAAGATGCAGCACGGTAGACTGGGCATGCACGGTAGATTCTATAGTATCTGTACAACAACAGGTACAATCTTGGTAGAGTCGTGTTGGAAATGTTAGTTGGGGTTCGTGACAGTTTTAATGCATGTCACCTAAAGTCACTTGGGGATCAACACACTGCCACGGGCACACCCTTAATAATTATAAATAATCTATTTATTCATGATTTACATCAACCTTTAGAAAATTAAATCTGTGGTTTTGACTGCTTGGAAAAAACAATATTTTGAAGGGAGCCCATCAACACAGCAACATGTAATTGTAAAAGATAAAGGGCAGCTCCAGACTTGCATGTAAAACTTCCATATTGATTGTGAACTGTGGATATCTGCACATCATACATCTACCTCCACCCCTTACAGTACCCCATTTCACCCCACATCCACACATCTCTAGCAAACCGGATAAGAGGGTTTGCAGCTAAAATCTGGCAAACTGTCATCAGTTGCATGAGAGCCTCCATGCCTCAGCAGACAGGATGAAGTGTGGAAAGGCCAAACTGATGTACATGTGTATAAAGATTAGAGGGGGAGGAGAAAAGACGGCTGCAACTTGGCAGATTACGATTGTCACTTCATGCATGTTATGCTGATGAATGCTGAAACAACTGAATCTGTGTGTAACAGCAGTTTGCATTTGTCAGATTTAGAGGGTTGATGACTCCCATGCCAACTGTAGCACAAGTGGTTTAGACTATTAGAGCTTTGCCCCTCCCACACCCCACAAAAACATGTAAAAAAAGTGACACTCTTAATCTGCTGCAAGAGTACTTTCCCTTTCATACAGTGTATTGGCTTACCGGGCTAGTAGCTGTACGAAAGGGAAAGTACTCTTGCAGCAGATTACAAATCAATACGATTGTCACTTTTTGATATGTTTTTCTGTGGGGTGTGCACTAGGACGAATTGTTAAGTAAATCATAAGCACATGTACTTGTTTTATATCCAAACAATAATGTTCCAAGTTAAAGAGGGAGACTATATTACGCTTTTGTTGGAAAGGCAATACTAGTCTAATATTGTAAATTGACAAGAATGATTTTATTTTTGGCGGTTTTATAAACTATGTCATACCTAGCTTGTCAATCATTTATTGCCTATAACAATTCAAATGTTAGTGTTTTGGAGACCCTTTCTATTTGCTACAGTTACTTGGTGTGCTTTACATAATACATAATTCACATTTTGGTTCAATGTTTGTACTGTTAGTACATGACTTAACAGCTTGGTGTTGATAAGCCTTAGTCTACTAGTATTTTTAGTTCATATGTTTGTGTGTTTTTGTTTTATTTCACTAAAGTCTAAGAAGATACTAAAAGGGCAGGATAAAGAGTTGCTGATCATCAATAGTCCAATATGTCATATTTCTTATTTGAACCACTCGGACCATTCCAGTTTCCTGAAGGAGTGAAATTGACAAGTACAAGTAATTTTGGATGTGGTTTTGTCAGCTGTTTTGTCCTCCTATCATCAGTTCTCCACTACCATTTAATTCCAGCCTTGCTGACAGCTGCTGCCATTTACTGACCATCCCAGCATGACATAGAAAGGATGACCTTACACACAAATGTTCTCAGTAATAACAGTACCCAGGAATATTGATAAAAATTCTAAATAGAAATAGGTTTCTTAGTTTGTTATATCAATCAGCATAAGAATAATGATGATAAGAATCATCTTGGCAAAAGTGGATCTGCAGATCGAAAAAAATATAATTTCTGAAGGGTATGTACTTCAAACTGTGGGGTTTATCCGACATTCTGGTGCCCTGTGTGTCATGGCTCAATAACTTCATGATGCACATGGTCAGATGTTAACAAATTTATTCATGGAGACCTCTAGCAGTAATACATTCACTTGGCTTCACAAAATTGACAATTACCTAAATGATATTGGAAGAAGTAATGGCAGGAATACACGCAAGGTGAAAGTGACAGGCAAGCATGAAATTAGCTCATCCAAATAACTTTTCTGATAGGTATTTGCAGGAACATACAAAGTGACTTACTGTAAAAATTACCTTCCAAATAGACTTCTGATATATCTATTTATTTGGCTTGGTTTATGGTCACATTTGCTCTACCTGGAACAGGATGTTAATCAAAGTGTCACTGTGTATAATACATTCACTCCATCATGCTATTACATTGATAGTTTGATTACTGGTTAAAAATTCAGCATAAGACCCCCAAGGTCAAAGATGTCACCCAGGTCTGCAGATACAAACATATCTCACACAGTGCCAGGCTGCTGCCAGCATGTAAAACTGGAACTGTGCAGGCCATGAACCTGGACCTTCCATCCAAAATCTTCTGGTCTCATTCATGTATTACTCCGAGTGTACCCCCTAAAAGAGTACCAAGTCAAAAACTAAACGGCTGTGTGAACGTGTGTTTTTATTGGTGAGAATTTTCCCTTTAGCCAGCCCAACTGGCGTAAAACGTCAAAGCGGTGAACGCTTGTTTGGAACTGATGAAATTGGGACGTAATTGTTGGCAGCCGCGCGCTAGGTCGGACGTGCACAGTCCAGTGTTGTGAGTTGTGCGGTCGTAGGTTTGCAGTGCGGAAGAGCCTCTTGCGGGCAGCCGCTAAGTGCAGTTTGTAATTCCCATAAAAAGGGATTGTGTGTATAGAAGTCGTCGGCAATTTTTTAATGAGACGTAGAGTACGTGTTGTTAACATAGCATGAAAGATATCAATTCATTTAATGTAGGATCATAGGGAACACGGCCTCGAAAGACAGTCATTAATGCATGGTTTCTAATGTATCGAAAAAACTCATGAATGAGACCTTCTACTTCTGACTTTGGCACCAAATTCATACTGGGGATGAGGTTAGGCTTTTTATTGGTCCAGGAGAATTGATAGTTTTGAAGGGGCGGGGCAAAGCAAATAATTTTTTTACATTGGCTATTTCTCTATCATCCTATTTACATAATAATCATGTGGTATTGCCTGGTATAGGTAAATTGCTATTTACCTCCCTCCGGTGTCAATGTTAGAAGTCTTTTTGAATACACCTTCCCTTTCCCTCCCTTTTATTCCCCCTGAACCATACGAATGGAACAGTCCTCATTGAAATTCTATATGGATGACCCCCAGTTCTTCCGCAGTCCAGGTTATGGGCTAATTAAACATTATGTCACATGTACACACTGTACGCATGACACGAACCGCACCAGACAATTTGGACCAAGATTTGACTTGTCACGTACACTGGTAAAGGGGAGTTAGCTTATGAACGTAACATTGGGAAGGAAGGAAGCACTTCAAATGACACTATTGTTGTAACAGGTAAGAAAGGTTTTACTCTACTTTGTCAGTTATGTTTCAAAGAGGCACAACGTTTGGTTAGATTCAGATGGTGACACTGCTAATACTCTGTTAAAGAAATACTATTGGGTTTTGGTCTAGATTTTAAGATGTGTTCAGTGTTAGAAATGTGATTATGAAATGCTGTCGATGACCTTACACAAAGGACATGACCTTACGCAAAGGCCTTACACAGATACAGATACAGAAAGTCCATAACTAACAGATTTGTTTATTCATTTTTGTCTCTAGGGGAACGAATCATCCCTTCCAGAAATGTGTACACACTGTAAGTATACTAGCTTTCCTTTCTACATGTATCTGTCAAAAGAGATACATTCTATTTCATTTTACTTCAGCATGGTGTGCAAAGTTCTATAAATGTGATAGCCTGAAAAAGGAGACATTTGTGATATGTGATAACAGCTTTTAGTAGTACAGCATCATAAATCAACTGAATCTTTCTACAAAAATCAACTGAACCATTCCACATCATTTGAGCCTGACACAAATGAAGGTTCATGATTTGTCCAGTGTTGTTTTACGATAGATATTCTATCCCTTTTCAGTAGTTTTATTGTATATTAGAGTAGATCTTGACGATGATACTAGTATTTATCACTTACAAAAGAAAACCATAGAGTTTTTACAGTTGCAACTTTTGTAGTCACATTGACAGTTACCTTCTGTTAGCAGGTGGTTGAGTTGACACATTGTCATCTATATGTGATTATGTAAACAATCAGGGTTCAAAATTCATCATGGTTGACTGAGGGTAAATGTTGGTACAAGTTATTTGATTTCAGTGACTAACTTGTGAAAGTGTCAAAGTCATACAGGATTAAAGCTTGATACTGTTTTCTACCTATTATTAACCCTCTCCCTGCTGAGATGTGCAAAACAGTCCAAATGTAATGCATGGATGAGCAAGAGACAGGAAGCTGTGTGACCATGAGAATAGATAGGTCTGTAGTGACTGTCGGTCTGTCAAAGGACACTGTCATATGAGATGCCACCTTTGTCCCTTGCTAACAAAACAAGTAGTTTCCCCCTGTCAAGCTATTTTGTTTCATCTTGGCTACTGTGTAATATTCTGTTCAAATCATCTTGTGAGATACTTGTGGGAGACAGGATTCATTATGTTTTTCCCTGACCCCCACATTTGATGGACATCGTCCTTGTGCTTCAACTACCTGGGCAAAAGAATTCATGATCTTTTTACCAGGACCAGGGTAAATCTCACAGACAGTGTCTTCAGACCCTGTTGGCATATAAACAGTATATACAGAAGGACAAAACCACAGGAGACAATTATGACAACACTGTACCAATGCTCAGGGGGCAATCATACAGAAGAAGTGGGTCAGTAGAAAAAGAGGGGTCAGAAGCTCTGAATGTTCGAACTGTAGTGTAAACTTTTCTTGTACATGTATCTGCACAACAGTTCATTTGGTAACATCCTCAACAGCTCAACTACAGTGTATCTGTAAACTATGTAATCTGTAGTGGAGGAGAAAAAAGTTTTCTTTGTTGTTTTAGAACATAGAAAATAGCTGTTTACAGTATAAACTCTCAAGTATCATATAGCAGGTATTGGCATTCAATACATGGAAACCCATGGGGGGCAGGTCTTTGGCTGTGGTCCCTTTGTAAAGTCCATTCAGCTAATGTTGCACCTGCCCCATCCAATATTTATTTCCTCCCTCCTGTGCAAAAGGTCCCATGATGTTTTAAACTGCCAAGAAGACAAATAATTCTGACCACTTTCCGGATCAAAATTTGCTCACCTTTGACATAACACTTAGAAAGTAGAACAGCTTTCTGCATTACAAAACACTAGCTAACTTATTGTAACCATGCAGAAAAGTGATAGAAACACCAACATTAAAGATTAACTGACATGATTATTTAACTGATGTAGGTAATGGTAACTATGGTAAGGGAAGTCACATTTCAGATTAGCACATCTTACTACAGAAAATGAAGATTAAGTGGGTCTGACATACAGTATACAAATCATTTCCCTTTCTGATGACAACAATCATCACAATACAGCAACAGTAAATCGTGAATCGTGTATTTTGTACATTCTTCTGTAGCATACTTAAAGCATATGAACCATTGTAACTTGCTGTTCTCCCTTTCATACAGAGGACTACACTTTTACCAACATGTTTCAATAAGAGCTTACCAGTGTTCATGTCTCTTTACCCTTTAACTTCCCTACAAGATGAAGAAGGACCAGGCCAGGAATTACTTTGTATGCTTTAACAACAACAAAACCTTTGCACCAAAACACTGCTCTACCCTACTCACTGACCAGGCAAAGATGCATGTTAGACAAGAGCACACCTACTCGGTTTCTTGGTCAACATCAAACAAGTACATGATGCATGAGAAGGGAAAACTGGGTCTTCTGGTATTCACTCACTGATGGCAAACTTTCAAACAAACATTTTCCAATGGCTATATTTTAAAGAAGCATTTCTTTTTTTAATTAAGTAAGACAGTTTATGTGATTTTATCACAGGTGGCTTGCATGGATTTGTGCTGTGTGAGAGTGAGCCTTGTGTCAATGTTTTCCTGCTGATATTGTTGTACTGACACGTTCTTTCTTTCCTTCAGTCGACCCGGAGGAAATCCGCAGGTTAGGGAAGCGGTTTAAGAAGCTGGACTTGGACAACTCTGGGTCTCTATCGGTTGAGGAGTTCATGTCATTACCAGAGCTGCAGCAAAACCCGCTAGTCCAACGGGTCATCGATATTTTCGACCAAGACGGCAATGGAGAGGTGGACTTTAAAGGTATCTTTCAGGAGAGGGATGGTAGCGTTGTCGTCATTGCACATGAACAATACATGTAGGAAATTAAGGATAACAGAAGCACAAAGGAGATCAGGAGTTTTGAAAGTTTCTTTATTTTTGAAACTGCTCAACTCTCCCCATTTTTATGAGACAGGAAAATACTACACTACTTGAAGTTGTAAGATAAAACAACCTGTTCCTTATGTATGATGCCAGGTTATATTGTAAGGGAGGAATTATCCTTTGCTGCGCAAGTAACTCCACTTCCTCTTGGACTGCAGCTGTTTACGTGAAATATTTGAAGTTGTATCTGAAATGAGTTTTGTTCTGTATTTTCCATTGTCATAACTTTTTCCTGTGTTTAAAGTTTTCAGTGTTTGCTCCAAGCACAACAGGCCCTTCCAAAGCTGTCAACGTTTATGTTTGTGTAAATGCACCTTTACATTGGTCACTTTGAATCCAGAGATACTTGAAATTTTGGATCCGTATCGTATCATCAAAGTGAAATACAAATGTATCTACATGTCTATAAAAAGCATAACATGCTCTTTCAAATAAACTTGAAAGACTTCACACAAGTTGAAATTTACTAACCCAATATGTGAAATTAGGACATTTTCAAGTTAAAAGTGACTGGTGTCAGGTGTTTGTTGTAGAGGTAGGCCTAACCATGACTTGTCTCTCCCGCCTGCAGAATTCATAGAAGGAATGTCGCAGTTCAGTATGAAGGGAGATAAGAACACCAAGCTAAGATGTGAGTATATAGGTTGGGTTGGCATGCAGCTTTTCCTTTTTTTCCACACTACACCTTTTTCTGCCTTCTTTCTCCTTCTCATGCAGAGTTTATAGAGGGCATGTCGCAGTTTAGTGTGAAAGGCGACAAGCAGTCAAAACTCAGATGTAAGTACGGGACAAGGCGGTGTTTCGTTGTCGGCACCGTAGATGTAGCGCTCGTAGTGGTAGCTTTGTAGAGATGATGTCAGCCCCTGTGATGGTACATGTAGCTAGACCCTCGGCCCACCCGCACTTGTCTCCTTCAATTCACTGACCTTACTTTCTAATCAACAAGCACCCAGTTCTTTCCTTTGTGTTTCCACAGTCATGTACTTTTCGTCTTGTTGCATATTTTCTCACAATTTGCATGCTGCACTTGCCTTGTTATTGATATAATGATAGCTCTGCACTGTTGCTTTGTCTGTCTTATGTTATGTTCTATGCATCTTGATTATAACTATGTTTAAGATATTGTTTGTGAACTCTCATTGGCATATGATACCAAGTCATATTTTCTACACCTGTCACAAAATACCAGGACAAACCACTGGAACTTATAGACTGAATAGACAGTATGTTGTCATTGGTACAAATTGTCTAACAAGAAAATGGAGTTTAATCAGGTTACACAACTTTTCCTTGGAATGTTCTGAAAGCTGCCAGATATGAAATAAACAGGATGCATCTCTGATGTGCAACATTGTGATATGGTACAAATTTACTTGTGTTGGTTGAATAGTTTTGTTGGATGTTTGATGACTGCAAGGAGGAGCCATAAGTAACAGCTTGAGTGAGCTGACTTGTTAGCCATGTTATCCAAATTTATAACCATGGCTGGATAGACTTTCTCAACCCTATGTCCCTTACAGTTGCCTTTAAACATTTATCAGTTGAGTAGGACATCCTTGGGCTTGTGCACATACCGGCACTTCCATATTAAGGCCACCTGAGTTTGCACCATATGGCAGCTGCCCCAGACTCAGCTGTTAGCTCCTTGCAATTTTGGCTGCAGAAGGAGTGATGTACTTCACATACAATACCATTTATGATTTATGACATGGACATCTACAGTCCTGTGTCCCAACAGTGGGCACTTAAGTTATGTAGTGTCAAGTAATACATGTAGTTGCATCTAAAACTCTTCATCACATTGCATTATTACAAGGATCCAAATATAGCACTGAGCAAGGTAGCTCTTCCCTAGGGTTGCCCAACCATGGCTAGTTAACTTTAAGGTACATGTATTTGGAACTATGCCTTATCTCCACAGTTGCCTTTAAGATTTATGACATGGACAAAGATGGGTACATCTCGAACGGAGAGCTGTTCCAGGTGCTGAAGATGATGGTGGGCAGCAACCTGAAGGACACACAGCTGCAGCAGATCGTCGACAAAACCATCATCAATGCAGACAAGGATGGTGATGGGAAGATTTCGTTTGAAGAATTTTGTGAAGTGAGTAACTGCCAGCTTACCAATATGTCACTTGTTTCACCAGCCTGTTTCTAGTACATGTAGTGTGCTTAACTAGATACTGAATTGTCTATTTACAAGGACAATGTGATTATGCTTTCAGTAATCATTCATGATTTCATACATTTTTATCCATGTATACATTTATTATGGCCCTCGTCAACCCTTTCAAAATATATATTTTCTCTTGGTGACAAATGTTAGATAATAGCCCACAGCCTGGTAATGAGTCAAAGCAATTTACCAAGCTCCTCATGCACACATATATGTCACAGTGTGTTATAAAATATCCTGATGTCTCCCATGAGATCAAGTTCTTTGGACTTATAATGACAGTAGAATTAGTGGGATGAAAATGCTATGTACATGTGTAATAATTCTGATGCTGATGTTAGATAATGTACATGGATAAAGTAGCTTTCAAATCAGATCATTGTCCAAAATCCATTACCTTCTTTCTGTTCCAGGTCGTTGGAAGTATGGATATCCACAAGAAGATGGTGGTCGAGGTGTAATACTCAACAGTTTTATGTTCAGCTCTTTCACCCACTAAACCAACTTTGTGTAACTCTCAACTTTGTACAGTATTCTGTCATCCTTGCAACTGGTGTCACAAAGGTTCTGTAAGCTTTATGTTTCTGTTGTACATGTCATTTGGTACATGTTATTGTTGCTGCATAATTTATGTTGTTTTCCAATCTGGGGAGGCCACCAAGACTACTCTGACGATAAAGAAATGTCTCAGGTTGAAATTTCACAGGATATACTCTGTTGTGCTAATGGGAAGTTTTCAAAATGTAGTGAGGAACTCCCGAAGGGTATAATGTCTAGATACCTGCAGACAAAGTTTTAAAGCAATACAGTTACTTGACTTGCCAAGCTATGTATGGTTGGGTGCTTGGGTGTGAAAACAGATTTAAATCTCACATTAAGTTAGCCTTTGTTCACCATCCAATTACACATAAGGCTTGAAATCAATGCTGTTTTCTGCTACTGGGAAACTGCTTTGATATCAAGACTGATTCCTGCTGAAATAGAACACTTTGACCCTTTCCCATCCTGCATGCCAATGCTCTAGTGGCTGCTTGGGACTACATGTACTATAGAACAACTCAATCCAAGTACCCCTCACATTTAGTAGTATCCAGTATTTCATCATACTGCAGTGAGAGTCCCTGGTTGAGCAGTTGGCTAGTCTTGAACACCTTCCAGGTGGATCTAGACAACCAAACAGCTGACCATCTATAATCTGGAGCTTGGCATATTTGTTTGGGTAACAGAAGCCACTTGTTTCAAAAGTCCTCAAAAATGTTATGAATCAACAGTCTTAACCTCCCTGTGGTGTGCGAATCCAACAATATAGATTTATAACATTTAGGTTTTTAGTCGGCAGTCTGGGCAAAGGCAGGGAAGGATGGTTTTTGTTGTAAATTACATGTATTACCAGTAGTCATTACTGAGTGCCAAGTAGATTATCCTGGCTATGAAGACAGTTTCAACTGTAGAAGGGCACAGTGGAAAGATGAACGTTGCAGACCTTGTTATAGCAATATCTTACTTTGCTATGGAAAATGCATATCTACAATCGTGAGTAGCACCACTATTAACAGTTGATAACTACTTGTTAGATTCTTCCAATGGACGTTTTTCTACCACCATCTGTGGACATCCAGTAGTTCCAATGTCACGAGAGAATCTGGGTAACTGTGAGACAGTTTGTTAACATAATGCGTACATACTTCCAGCATTGAAGAGAATAGTTGTGCTGTGTCACAAGACAAATTTTATAGAATGTATCACGCATTTTAACCTACCTAAAAGACAATGTTGCTGAAACGCTCAAATTTGCTCAATCCAAATGTGCTTTTTTCAATTCCTAAGACATATCCCTCAAAAAGTGTGCACTACATGAAATCACCATTTTTTGTATATAATAATACAAAAAACAATAACTTAGTTTGTAAATTTCCTTTGGTCATTTGTGGCTTGTCAAGGAAGTATTGTTTTGTTGAATTCAGTATTGTGGAATGTTATGAGTAGAATTTGATGGTGGAGGGTATTTCTGAACTTAATGTTAACTTTGTGGTTAGGGTAATGTTTGTATATATTGTGCGTGTCAGTGCCGCTGTCCTGTATAACCTAGAAACTGTTCTCCCAAGTACGCTGACAACTTTAATATAGCAGTTGAAACCACTTTTGCCATGGGCTGTTTATACGGAAAACACGAGGCAGTGACTGAACCTGAATGACGTTTCTACAACCAAACAAGTTTTACGGGGGGCAAAAGTGGAATTCATGGGCTTGTCGTCTTTTATTACATTGGCATCTATAGCTCTTTCCAGAGAAGCATTTTGGAAGTTATCTGCTTGCAGAAAATACAGCATTGATGCATTTCCTCCATAGCCTCAGAGCAGCGTGGTAACCATGGCTAGATGCCAGACTGGCTCCAAAACACACAAGAAATAAACTAAGATTGGAAGTCCCTGAATTCCAGCTTTGCCAAACCAAGGAGCTTAATAGTAACCCTCCTTGGTAAAGCAGGAAAGACCATCTTGAACAGAGCAGGGGTGGCAGCAAGGTTGGCAGAAGAGAAAATTATATATGTAGTCAGACTTGCATGCTTCATATTGTCAAGAGAAGAGAATATTGATTAATAAACAAATAATTGTAATACTTTAATTCTAATACAAAAAGTAAAAGTGATTTGTCTGGTCAAAAGGGTGGTGTGATTTTATTTTGTGATGTTACTCTATATATGACTATCATTTCACAAGGAAAATTTAGAAAACCAAAGCATGGATCAGATTTTAGATTTAATGGAAGTTCAACATAGCAATACTGATACAGATACTAGTGTTACCGCACAGTCCATTGCAGGCACTGCAGCACACAAACATGCACACCTACCAAATGAACATGGTCACACAGAAATGCTACTAGTGAGAACATTCAGGTGTACAATACCATGGGTCAACAATACAAGGAATACCACTTTATTAATACGTTTGGGTACTTCTATTTAAGTACCATAATACAATGTATACAGGATGGTTGTGTCGGATTAAAAAGTGTCACTCCAAATAGAACCGCCATAATCAGATCGGGCTTTTGTATGAACTTTTCAGCAATCTTGAAATGAGCTGTAATCCCATCAAATTTCGTTCCATCATTGAGCTTGGAACAAGCATGACACCAGCTTTCAGGTTCCCTAGGGAAGAAACAGGTGCAAAACAGTATATTTCTTCTGAAGGGGGTGGTGAGTTTTGTGCCTGTGGAGACAGTGAAACGAAACACCCCATCCTCCTTCCAAAAAAAGTATTTTAACTGCTTAAATGATTACTGTATAGAACGTGATAATCTCCCGGCCGCCCAAATGTGAAATGCTACGCCAGAACGTTCCTGAAGTATTTTACACCCCCGTTTTGTGGAATGGACTCGCCCTGTCACGTCAGCAGGTGAAGATGGCTTCCACTGGGTCGGTTGTCGGCGGGTTCGTCTCTGTCCTAGTTCTGATCGCCGCAGTATACTACGTGCGGCAACCAAACGATGCAATCCTGCAGAACAGGCTCGAAAAAGTCCTCCTGTCCCTGCTGAAGGCAGAGAAGAAGGCGAGCCTGGCGTCCAGGCCGCGGGTGGCGGTGGGGCTCGGGGCCTGCCAGGACGCTTTCGTCGACGCGTTGGAGCTATTTGACAGGTAGGAGACCGGTTAGAGCCAGTTTTCAGTTCTGATGTCTTTGTCAGCTCAGCTCATCACACCCGGGCTACAGGCGTTGACTGTCATTAAGGTCATGTATAAAGTAGGGAGATATTTGAACAGTGCAAAATAAAATCTACAACGTTATAACACCAATCCATAAAACAGGTGAATCAGCATCGAATCAGCAAAGAAGGGTTCGTTATGGTCGACCTCAATTCTACAGACAACTGTCTTAATTTCGTTGTACTTATTCCCATGAACATGATAAAGTATCAAAGGAATGTGTGGTCAAAGGTCTAATGAGAATTAATTGGTAATTCAACCACATAAAAAAGGGACACTATGAATTGGAAGGGCAATGACCTTTGCTTTGACATGTTTGAGGTGTAATTTGATCATGATGTCGAAGATTAAAATAGAGTCTATAAAATATATATGGTGTAACGTTGCACTGGGGTTGTTGAGTCTATATAATCATAGAATGATGAGTGGTGTAGTAAGGTATGCTGTTCCTCTGTAATTGTGTTGATAGATCCTTATGAAGAAAAAGGTGACAACATCATGGCACCACCCATTCCCCACCCATTTGTCTTCAAGATACATGTACAACAATGTAATTGAATAGGTGATAGAGTTACAGACATATGATAAGAAAGAAGTAACAATGTCTGAAAATTGGTGATGATAAATTTAACATTGGCTTGATTTATATGTGAAGTTTGGGTGTTGAAACGATTTGGCACAACAAAGTAACAAGCTCAAGATCTCATAACTCATCCATAGTAAACAAGACGTCCTGCCATTCATCTCAATGTTGTCTAGTCATTATGATATAAATGTGATAATGGCTGTCTCCTCCACAGGTACAACCTGACCCCTCCAGCCCTGACTGCCCACTATGACTCCATCCATGACCACCAGGAGCTGGCACAGATGTTTGCCTACTTTTTCAACCATGGGGCTGCTGCAGAGTGAGTCAGCAAAAATTACAAACTACTGTACATGGGGCATACTAAGGCCATGTTTATGTGAAGTCACCCAAGGCGGCCACTTCTAGAGGTGGTTTCGAATCAGTTTTCCCGCTTTGCAATTTGCGTCTGAACGCAATGTGATTTCAATGTAACTTTGCCTGGTCATGGATTACGGGGTGATATTTCTTTATTTATATGCATAATGCAATACCAACTTTTACGTGGCAGCAACTTAAAGAGCAGTACATGTGTATTACTTTTAAATGGTCAAATAATGTGTCCATTCTAGGGCAAGCTTCACCGCCTCTGGCGGGACCACGTCGGCATTTGGCCGAGATACGCTGGAGGGGGGCATCAGCAAGCAGGTCAATGACCTCTGACATTAATGACACGCCACCTTGCGTGTTATCATCAAACAGCAATAAATGTAGCTCTAGCGAATTGTGATCGGACACGGTTTCACAGGAGTGTGTGGCACGTGGGACAGATGTGAGGAATGTGAGTTACCCGAATCACGGTTTGGGTGACTTCACATAAACACGGCCTAAGTAGCTTGTACCCTTTTACATGTAAAACAGCCAGTCCTTCCAGATTCCACACAATTAGCTTACCACAATCAATTAATCAAGGCAGGAGATCAAGTAGACAGCACATGTAATTGATCAATACAAACTGTAAGCATATTAGAGATTTGCCATTTAAGACCTCACACTCACAGATAATGTCTTTTCCTCATTTCCAGACGATATATGGACAATACCACCCTGTTTCGAGACCTCATGGACATTGTTTACAAAATGCCCAATGCAAGGTTTGAACTTGGTGGGAATGCACCTGTCATGGCAAACAGGTTTGCTGCTGAAGGTTGTAACGTCCTTCTGGGGGCACATCTCAGCTCCAATCTTAAAGAAGTGATGAGGGAAGGAATTACAGGTAAGGGGCTTGTGATGATGTAACGTTACATGTAATTACATCAACACTCAAGTAGCAGTTACTAGTATGCTGTGAAGGCTCTGGTAAAGTACACGTGGGGCTTCATATGACCCAATAATTGTCATGATTTTTTCCATTTGCCCCATAACCACACTTTCATCATCCTTCCTGGTCTCCAGTTTACAGGGTATGATAGCAGTGAAATTTGCTGACTTTTTTCTGTTTATCTCTTTTTAAGTTACGGGTGAAGAAATAGAAGAAGATGACATCCACTTGATCTTGGAATACCCACGGCAGAGCAGCTGGGGAAAGTACATTTCACCCAGGGCTAACAGGTAGGTGATAGGCTGTTGGAGATGGTACATGTAATGTTACATTTTGCCATTTAATGAATGGGGACAATCTCTATTACATATCTTCGTAGCTGCTCTTTGTTTCATAGGTAAAATTAATGAATTCCCCAATATATTGTGTTAGGACTTTCAATATGGCTTTGGGAGAGGTGGTTCTTTTTAGAGATACAGAGGTATCATACAAGACATAGGTATCATATAAGAGATTCGTGTCAAGTCATTATTTAGATTGTAATAGGCCAATAAGCCAGTACAAGGTAACCCTTGCGGTATCATATGATAGTAAGCAGAGTCTCCCTGGTCTGCAGGTTCATTGTCCACAGTGACAGGAACAACCCAAGCCTGAACTCTCTGGAGAGCTTCAGTCAGATGCTGAAGGACTTCAATCCCTCTCTGGTGGTGGTAGGGGGGATACAGATGATGGACAACTTCCCATTCTCAGCAGGTAGGGTACAATCATGGTTAGAAACCTCTTACTGTATATTTATCTGGTATATGCTGCCTTGTTAGACATGTAGCTGACTTTGTTCCTATACCCTGACACAGTACAAATACTGTTTTGTTGATCCAAAATTCTTTAATTTGCTAGGTGAGCGTGAATCCAGGCTGAAGCTCTTGCAGCAGATGTTGGTGTCCATCCCTGTGGAGCAGAAGACACACTTCGAGCTGGCCTCCTTCACCGAGCAGGCACTGTTTGAGGAAGTGTTGAAGTACATTGTCCCTTACATGGACTCCCTTGGCATGAATGAACAGGAACTACCTAACCTCTACAGCATGCTGCATGGTGGGAAGATCACGCTTATCTCGGACCCGGTGCCCCGTGTTGCCACTGTGCTGGACCACATGAGAAAGGTCTGGGCAACCCTTCAGAAGGCTGATGCTGGCGGGTCCAAACGTCGCCTGTCCCGCCTGCATGTTCATACACTTGCTTTCCAGGCAATCATGACAAAGAAAGACTCAGGTTGGAAAAACACCATGTCCGCTGCAGCCAAGGCTTCTCTGACAGCTAACAGGCATGTGTGTGGGTCCCCGAAGATTGATCTAGGGAAGGCGACAGTACTCATGGATGAATCCTTCTCCACCAGTCGGAAGGAGGGAAGCTTGAGGATCCCTTTTAAAGAAAACCGGCCGGTGTCTTGCTGGGAGGAACATGATTATGAGATCTGTATTGCACCTGTGCTGGTGTGTACTGAAGTGCGACAGACTGCAGGGGGAGGGGACAACATCTCGTCTGCAGGACTTGTTCTGCAGATTTAGCTCCTTGATTTTGTGGGAATCGCTTGGGCTCAAAATGATCAACTCCAAAATCATCAACATCTTGTGATGTTTCATTCCTGAATAATAGGATAAATTTTGGATGCATTTGTTTAACAGCATACAGAACAGCAACCATATCTTGTTTGTGGAATATGTGTAATTCCAAAAATGATGTTTTTTTAGTCAATGTCTTGATATTTATGTGTTATTAACCAGTATCTGTGTTGTGATAAGACTGCTGTTCTTATGTTTTAGAAGAGTAAATATTTTACTCAAGTTTCAAAATAAGTGGTACTTAGTAGGCAGTTGCATTTTGTCATTGCAATGCAACCTGCAAATTTACAGGCTAAGGACAGTGCAATGTAGACTGCAATGTGTTTTATTTTGCAGGGATCAATACTGTTACAATTACAGTGTGTGTACAAAGTAAGAATCATGTGTTTCATTTTGCAGGGATTAATTCAGACACAGGACTTGTGTTTTTCAAATCTCCAAAGACAAAGAGGGCTGCCAAAAAAGAAACTCCAAAGAACTGATAAGTGGAATTGTAATGCAAGGAAGTAGAAGTGGAAAATTTGGGATGATGCACAGAAATTTGGTGAAAAAACAGGGCAAGAAAAGTTTCAGACAGTGCTCCCCTGGACTACTGTTTTCTAACCTGTACCATCCTATCTTTTCCAAAAGGGATATGGAGTCTGTCTTTGTTATCTATTAACAGAACATAATAATTCTATATCATACAAGAACACAGTGCAAATTTTGTGCCTGTTTCTTTCATACCGTTGTGCAAAAGTTGTATTTGTTATCATCACAGCAATAAATTCAATACCTTTCCAAAGTGTCTTTATTATAAATGATAGTCAAACACTACACAATGAAAGTAACACGTCCATGAGTACATCAAACATTGTGATAGTTGTACATAACAATTGAGCCCACAAGAGAGTCTTGGCAAAATGCATATAGCTTGTTGAAACTGTGAGATGAATGTCTGTTTCGAAACATTAGTAATATATCTCCAGTGTGAGATCCAGTTCTTTGCACCAAGATCCTCATTGTTCCATCAAGTGTCCCATTTTGTTGTTTTCCTCTGGAAATTGTAAAAAAAAAAAAGCTGTTAAATTTTCTTAACTATTCAAAACTATGTAAATGATCTTCAATGCAATGCTCAGTGACCATAAAAAAGTTGTATGTCACTCATATGACTCATACTAAAACTGAGCATCAAAGGACTGCTGTAAAAACATGTTAAATTTTTGACGTTATTTTAAGGACTCATGTGACTGTAGTATGGCCTCTCAAGCCTTCATCTACTTTCTCAATGCAAACATACACAATATTCTACGTTAATGCTACTACTGAATAAATGCATGCTTAGCTGAGTGAAAGTAAAATTGTTAGAAAGAAAAGTTGCCAGTACTGACAGGTGTGCTGACTGTCTCTTGTCTGTGCTGCTCTGCCTTCTGCTCTGCCTGTTCTGCCAGTTTTTTCCTGCGGTAGTAGTTTCCAGGACTGATGTCTATACCAACAAGGTATGCAGCAAAGGCAGCTCCAATGATACCACAAGAAATTTTCCTGAAGAAACAAATTGAAACAAAATCATCAGTCTGAGGATTGAAGTGGTGGAGAGAACGCTATATTACCTCCCAAAGACATAGGGAATTTAGAGAATTTAACATGCCGTATATATAGTACAGGTATATTTCAACTTTTTGCTGAATGAAGTATATAATATCAAGGACATTACTAATGTCCTTGATAATATTTACAGCAACCATTTTCATGTCAAATGTTTATGGAAAAGGCATGTTTCCCTTCATTCCTGTCAGACCTTTCCTAGTCATACGGACATTCTACGACTCAAATCAAGATTCCTTAGACTTAACAAACCCCTAGAGTCTTTCTACAGCAAAGTAATCAGTGTTAAAACAGCTTGGAGTGCACAACAATACAACAGCCTAGCCTTGGAGTCTAATAACATGTTGTAACACGTGCACATACAATTAAGATGGGCCCTTACGTAACGATAGACTGCTTTCTCCACCAACTTCTTACTGTTGTCATGGCCGTGGACATTGCTCTTCAACCACCTTTGCCCTCTCTTTGAGATAACTCTGTAAAACGAAGTGTAATTTACTGGAGACTTTGTGTTGTGTCGTCTGCTAGAGAATTTCCTCGCAGGTTCACTTCCGGGTCGCTGACCCCACTGCGCAGAACGCTGCGCACAACTCTCAGATTGGATCGCGGGAAAATATGGCTGCTCCAAACTTGAACTGATGTTCAGGTGAGAAAATTACCTGTATTTGCTGCTACGTTTTCAGAAGTAAGAACTTAAGAAGGACGAAGCCATAGCTGGATCATACCAATGTTAATCCGTGACATGAATTAGCAAAATTAGGTCTTTTTACTCTTATTTTGTGCATTTGCGCGTCAACACGGCACGTTGTGATGGGGAGGGGGGCACAATTATTGTGGAGATTATGAATTTATGGAACAGCAACAGCACCAGGACTACTACTCCTTTCCTTAGAAGTCTTCCCTTAGTTCCCTGTCTTGTGTACGGTAACATGTAGCACCTTAGTAAAAGTACCACATAGTCCCTAACCTCCTTGATATTGTACAGGTAATATAACTTTTCCTGCACTTTTCTACCAGGCCGGATTCCATACATAATTTAGACTGTCACAACACAAAGAGACGTCCACAAGATGATCATCTCAGCATCAGAACCACAGGAGTTTGTGCCCTTCGGCCGTGAGTACACCTCCTGCCACCCTGATGGCTTCGCACCGCCCTCCCCCACCAGAACGCTGGACGGCACGTCCATCCGGGAACACGGTGTTCCCATCAAGTCATTCAGCGAGGTTTCCATGGCAGACACGCCCAAGGTGGGGATTTTTACCAGGGCTTTGTTGAAGGATGTGGTATGTAAATAGGTGACGGGATGGGATGTTAAACCTTATATATTGTAAGAAAAGAGATATTTGGGGTCCAGTATTTCTGTTTTAACATCTTACAGTCTCTAGTTACTGAGTTTGTACATAATGACTAAAGGAACTTTACTCATACCTCAATAACAAAGTAATACCGATTCACCATATTTTAGGATGCCTGCACCTCCTTTCTCAGGTTGAATGACCCACAACTCACTCGTCTGTAAGATTTTTCCAGAATGAAGAACCACAAAGAAAGTTGTCATGACCATAAACAAAGCTTAAAACTCAAACTCAATTCAGAGGAGTAGACATTAGAGTGTGCCATGCTGGTTATTTTCCCCCATCAGAAGGAGTTATGGACCCTGCAGGCTGGTGGGGATGGGGAGGTGTGTGATGAGGAGTTGTACACCAGGGGGAACACTGTGGTATGGAGCAGGGGAGGACAGAGTGCCACCAGGATGGTCATCAGGTCATTCACTGTTCCTTCACCAGTCCAGGAGGTATGTCATGAGAACTTGTGTCTACCACTTGTTAAGAAAACTGTCACGTGGCATAACACATCACATCAGAGTATGTGAGTACAATCTGAGTAACATTGTGTAAGTTACTGGACACTGGCATGACAATACTCTTAAAAACATGGTCAAGGTATGGTTCTACTTGGTTCATTCACTTTGAAGATGATCATTACCCATACTAGTTTGTGATGTTGTTGTGTTCACCTCTCCACTCCATCCACTGCAGGCCTTGTGGTGCAGATTTGAATTTTCTCGTATGGAGGCAAACAAACCAGTCAAGAAGTCAGGTGAGAAAAGTGTCTCGGTAAAAGACTCACTTTCAGTCACATTTAACTCAACTTAAATCATTCATAGATTGTAGAGGAAAAGATTATTGTTGTGATGCACTGGTTTATATACCTATACTACTTACTAGTATTTGTATCTGAATCTGATCATTGCTGTCTGACTGTTCCATAGATAAAAAAGTGATGTCAGGTATTGCTGTTGTGGAGACTAGCTGTGTCAACATCTACACCAAGGAGGGGGAGGAGTACATTGCACCACTGCAGTTTCAGGTGACTTACGATGCCTCAAACATCGTTTTTGTATTACATACTCGGCAATGACTTTTTCAAAGCGCAACATGTAGCACTATAGGGAATCTCTCCTGACTACATGTTTAGACTTTGTCACACCTTACAGGCATATTGGCAGGATATCTTCCCATTTTTTTTGTTGGATATCCCTACAGGCACAACACACATGGTCTACTAAATATGGGCTACTGTTTGAAAGGAGTATCTCAGAGGCAGAAATAACTAGTCCTAAAAGGTGTGTATCAATGAATTTTTATTTGGCTAGGTTATTTTTCTGAATATTATACTAATGGTCAATTCCAGTCATAGTCTGATAAAACAAGTAGGTTACATACAACATTATGTTACAATGTACATGTACTAGTAGATTGAAAGGAACTTCCCTAAAGAATGACATGATGCAGTACCTTTGTGATCTGCTAGATGTCATGTTCACCATATCTGAACTTCCCAACCAGGGGCTCGGAGGCCTTACCCAAGCTGTTCAGCATGTGTCACCCACTGGACGAGTTATGCCCGGTCGTCTGCAAGTACGGAGGGCCGCTTGGTGTTGGGAAACTATCGTATGTTAATGACCCCATGCAGCATGTGGTGTTTACCAGTGCTGACCCCTCTCTCGTGATGACCTATGACACAGTTCTGGGTGTCCACTCTGTCTGGGCTCTGAGGACAGCTAAGAGCGAGGTGTGTATTAAGAGATATTTTTATTAAGCCTGTACAGTTTACCAAAACGTGTCAAGACAAAATTTTGATTTAAAAGGTCTTTATTTATTTCTTACCTACTTTAGCCTTGTACAACGTTCAAGTGTGGTTTAA